TTTTCTGAGAATTATGCAAAATAAACTTTAACCAAACTGTAACTCTCAAGCAAAATTACTTTTAAATCATACTACAGGCTATGAACAAAAGTAATCAAGATTTGGGGTTTCAGGTAATAAGATTAATATCAGTGAGTTCTAAGAATCTTAGGAAAGCATTTAAATTATATGCTAATTGAGCACAAAGTACTCACATGTGAAAAAAACACAAATCTCATACAATGCCAGTATGGATCAGAGACAACATTCAAATAAATTCCAAGAACATTTGACACTGGTCAAAGCACAAGAAAATTTGAAAAGTCTTTAGGTTTTATAGTGTGTATATGAAAATACTTTAGTAGAGGCTTTCCAAAATTTAATAATAATCCTAAAAATTGACATAATGAATTATCAAAGATTTTCTAAAATCTCAACAGTAAAAATTTTGAGCCACTAGGACATTCTCTCTATGGAAATACTACTCACAAGTTATTTTCATATGAAGAAGACAACAAAGAGGCTGGTACAATAACCTGTGGGGGAAATACTGCAGAGATGTGCCAGAGAATTTTATGCAATTTCTATGAAATGTAAAATGTCTATAATAATAGTTCCCCAAATTTTGTTAGTTTTAGGATTTTCTTCCTCATTTAAATCTTTACCTCAAGGTCTGATTTTGCACTTTTGTTTAGAGGACCCACAGAATAAAGTAAGCTTGAAGTCCACAAAACTAAGACTATCCTTGATAAGTACTCATCTCCCTCAATTCATTGCCTTTCAGTTTTCACCCACCAACTCTGGATTAAACACAAAGTAACATAATCAGAAAGTCATCTTTCACAAATCTCCCTGAAATAACCAACTGAGGCAAAAACCATTACCGATACTAAATCCATAGAGCAAAAATTAGGTCCAAGTATCACCTCACAGACTGCTTGTTACTTGCCCTGACAATGAAGCCTACCTTACATTAACCCTAATAGAGAAAAGCCTGAACATATGTCCGTCCTGACAATGCAATACGGAGTACACACCAACACTTCATTGGAGCATCCTTGCCAGAACCAGCTGAATCTAAATCTAAGCAACCCTTTAGACCTAACTTATGGGCTTCCAGAAATGTAGAGGTAAAAAGGACAAGTTAACCCTCCAGAGAAGCAAGCAGACAATGCTAGAATGTGACACATTCTATAGAAACAAGAGATCTGATCTTTTCCAAATGTCAATGTCATGGAAAAACAAAAAGGGGGTGGAGGTGTTATCCTACAGCCAAGGAGAACAAGAAATGTAAAACTCAAATGCAATATGTGAATTTTGGACGCTGGTCTTCTGTAACCCCCAAAACAATATGAAAGCCATGTGAACATTAGGGAAATGCAAATATGGACACTAGACAACATCAGGAAATTCCTGTTACCTTCTTTAGTATGACGATAGATAACGTAGAATATAATTTTAGGAGATGCATGTTGACATTTTCAGTGGTAAAGTAATAATGAAATTTGCAATTTACTTTCAAAGGGTTTAGTAAATTTTGTTTGAAATTTTTTATAATAAAAAATGAAAACAAGTGAAAAAAAAAAAAGCCACATTACTAAGTTTTACTCTCATTTGCTCAATCTATCCAAGACATTTTTAGTAGGGTCAAAATAATTACTCCTGTCAAACATGAGCAGTGAAACAGTATCCAAAGCCAAGGGGTTAATGTTTTCAGAACTGCCATCTTATTTCAAAGAATCACCCAGGGCCCAAATAGTCATGCTCTGCTTGCTTAGTGTTTGTGAGTGGCCTGCAGCATTTTCAGACTGTCACTCAGATGGGAAACTCATACAGGAAGCAAAGGGAGTAGAACTGAAGCAAACAAAATTAAATAATAACTGATTTATTTTATTCATATCAGAGAGAAATTAAGAGTATTTCCTTTCTGGAACACTGTATATTTTCAGGTATTTTTTTTTTTTAAATTAAAGGGCTGGGCCAGGGATTTAGCTCAGTGTCTTAAGCACCTGCCTTGCAAGCACACAGTTGTGAGTTTGATCCCACATACAAAAAAAAAAAAAAAAAAATTAAAGGGTTAAGAACTTTTTTTTTTCATTTAGAAGGCAATTTGCTATGAGTTACCTCACTGATGCCTTAAAATTGACTTGTTAAACAGGGAAGCTAAGTGCTATTCCCGTTTTACAAGAAAATGAGGCAGGGAGAGACTATGGTTTTCCTGAGTGCCACAGGTAGTAAGCTTCGGTCCCTCACAGTTGATTGCTGTCATCTAGTACTCAATGACTGACTTCCTGTGAGTGACAATCATTTCTCCAAGCTTCAGTTTTCTGCCAAGATGGCCTAAGGTACATATGAAAAGATTTTAGAGGCTCATAATTTGAGCTAGAAAATAAAACTTGGCCTCTGAACCACCTTCACCCTATCAACAAAATGCCAGTGGGATGAGAGGTGAGAAAGGACAAATGACCTATGAAGAAGGTGGCCTCCTCCAGGGACCGACCTGCCTCCTTCCCAGGCCCCGCAGGCACCTTCCTAGAGCAGGGACTCCTTCAAACACCATCACCAAATGGGGTTTCCTAGGACATGAAGGAAAATGAAAAGATAAACTTGAAGCTGAGCAGTTACTGACAGAAGGAAAAATGGGGCTATGAAAAGAAAAAGCACCACATAACCAAGTGAATGTGATTACTTCACTCTCAAGCGGTCAAGTCCACACCCCTCCAGATGCCCAGTGGCTGCCTGCTTGGAATCGCTCTCCTTCACACAGCTCCCTAGCTGGAGGAAATTACCAGTGCCATGGCGTTCATGAAACACAGAGGTCCACTAAATGTCTGCTTTGGCAGACTTTTTCTCCCAAAAGGAACCCCCATATAGTTCCCCACGAAAAGCAGGCTTTGTTGTAAAGATTTACAGTGTTTCCCCAATGAAAATTCTAATTGACAACCACCAGGAGAATAACAATACAAAGCTATGAGAGCCCCAGTTCCCCCTTTCTTCTAAGATTCATCTCAAAGAAGCACTCACTTTTAAGGTTCCCTGGACCAGTGTTTAGCTCATTCTTTATTTGGACACATGCATAAATAGATGCTTGGATACTAGAAGTTTATCATTCAAAGCAGTCAAATCTTAAAAAAAAAAAAAAAAAAATCAAAAGATTTATTCTCTCAAACTTCAAAGACAGAAAATTTCACTTAATTCCCAGGCTCAAAATATGAAGTACCTCCACAAAAAATAAGCATATTAAACAAAAATGTAACCATGCCTTTTCCATGGAAAGAGACCCTTAAAAAAAAAAAAAGTACGATGAGATCTTCAGAAATAGTTGCCTGAGAATATTTAAGACACTGTTATTCAGTGCACTCATTATAGGATAAAAGTTCAAGTACCAGAGAGAGTGATTTTCATATGAATGTTGTATGCCTGGCGCATACAAGAGCCTATAGTCTACATAGAGAACCCAGTCACATCAAGCGAGTCGGGGGAGTCCTGAGTGACAAGGTACAGAGAGGGCTGTTCAGATAAGAGACAGACATTATTGGACACTTGTTCAAAGAAAACTTTGAAGATTTTGTTAGGCTTTCTTAGTTGAACTGTCACAAGTAACAATAAAATTGTAAATGAGTAGTGTTCCATGCCACATCACTGCCATTTATGGACCAGCTGCCAATGGCTGCCCATGATGGGAAATTAGCATTAAAGAAGGACTCAGGTTACTGGACTGACACACACAGCAAACAAGAATATTCTCAAATGAGGTACAACACCCCGTGCAGTTACACAAATCAAAACCAAAATTAAAAAAAGAAAACTGCCTCAAAAAGAAAAAAAAAAAAACCTTTCTCTCTAAATCTTCCTAAAATCTTATCCATCTCCACCCACAGTCATAGTATATAAACAAACATGTGCTTCTAACTGCATAACATAAATTAAGTGAAGTAAACCAGGTAGAAAAGGTAGAGAAATCCATCTTTTATCTAGACCGAAAGCTAAGAAAGGAACTAAAGGGAAACTGTACAGCATGACTGGATATTATCCTAGAAGTCAGAAGACCTGAATTTCAACAAGTCTAGGGTCTTCTACAAACCAGTGGATGAGCCTCTAACACTTTGAGTCTCTACATCATCAGGAAAGGACTAACCTAGATCACAGAGCTGAAGCTGAATGCTCAGAGCCCTAGGGTTTCAGAGAGCAACAAGGAAGTAAAGGCAAAGGGAACCATGGCTTGTATACTCTCTCAATGCAAAAATGTAGAGTGGATCCAAGAGTTCTATTATCAAGGTGTCTTAAAAGCGTTAGAACAATGTACTTTGTAAAATTCTTTCAATGGTTTCTATGTGCCTTTTAAAAATATTATTAGAAATAATCATTGTTTATTAGATTGTATACCCAACTCTGTATATTTAGGTTCTTTTATTCCTCCTTAAATGGGCAAGGAAACTGAAAACTCAGCTAAGACAGTGTTGATATATTGTGTCAACTTGAGAAGTTTAGAAGGTTTAAGAGACTCAGCAGGGAGCCAGGGTTCTTCCTTTGTAAATATCCTTAATCTGTGCAAGAGGAGGGCAAGGAGATTTTATGATGGGAGGTGGCCTACTTACAATCTTAGGAAAAGAGGCTTGCTCTTCCCTACTTTTGCTCTGGCTGCTGCCTGAAGTGTTATCACAGGGCCATGCTTCCCTGACTTGGAGCCAGTTGATGATGAACCGAAACCTCCAGAAACTGTAAGCTAAATAAACCTTTCCTTCCTTCATTTGGGGTGCCAGGTATTTTGTCTCAGCAATGAGAGAAACCAAGACAGACAGATACTCCAAAATTATACAACTCAGTAACTGGCAGGATTCAATGCTAGGAATGACTGATATTAAAACTGCTAAATTCTACCTCTGCATTTAATAAACTTCATTATACAAAAAAATTTGTTATTTCATTATTACTGCAATTCTTTCTCCATGAAACATCAAGTTCTTCACTCTGCCTCCCCCATGCTTTTCATTTTTATTTTCCTAGGAGTAAACACTTACCCTGGTGATAAGAAATGAATAGCCAAAAGTTCTGCCCAACAAGCCAATTTGTTAGGTACAGGACAGCCCAAAATGTTGACAAAGCCTCCAGGGCAATAATGGTTGTTAAGAACTTTCAAGGCAAACAAAACTCCTAGAAGAGAATAAAGAACACTCCAATATCAACAATCCAAATGTGCAGTGAATCAACATTTACAAAGAAAACAAATTAAATGTTAAAACAATTATCCCAACTTTTTGCTTGGAAACATACTCTACTCTTTATAGCTTAGCATTTGTTCAAAGATATGACTTAACACAGAAGTCCACCCTAAGTCTACTAATATATTTGACACATAAAATGGGACACCAGCAATGGTTTTATATGCCAGTGAACTACACACTTTAAAACACTTAATTTCATGCTATCTAATTTCTAACTCAATTTCAAAATACCAGTAATACGTGTTTTTCTAACCTCTGGAAAGACATGATAAAGGTTGGACATCTTTCCTTTTTCTTCCAAATTAGATGCGTAAGGATATATTTGAAGGAATGGGGTGGGATTCAAGTTTCTTTCAATATTACTTTCCTCCCCCACTTCCCATTCTAATGTTTAGAACACCTAATTTTAGTCCTCATGGCAATATCAGCCCCATGAATTCTCTATAAAAAAAAGAACTAGTGAGGGGGAAAGGTGTGAAGCACTGCATCATCATGGTGAAAGTCATACAGGTAGTGTTCAAATCTCCGCTGTATGCTTACTAGCTGTTAACAGTGAGCTAGTTTCCTGTCTCAGCTTTCTCATCTACAATACCAAGATGTGCCTCCTCTGTATGGACCAGCTTTCTGAATTACAGAGGACACAGTGTGACTACTGAGGCTCTGCCAACATGACATATGCAGTGCATTTGTTCTAATGAAATTACTGAAAGCCATAAGTAGCAGGTGGCTATGGACTGATCTAGTGCTAAATGCAAAATCTTAAGATATGGAAGTTGGCCAGATCAGCCTCCAGAGTGTTCTAGCCCCCTCTACAACAGGACATCCTTTAAGGCTTTGCTGAGTAACTGATACGAGCTCAGGTATAGCATCGAGGTATATAACTGAGGTTACTTCTTAGGGTTCATCTGCAGCACAAACGGGGTCTGAAAAGATGAGATTCCCTCTGCCGCACGGGGTAGGGCACAATGAATCCTAGACTTCTGCTGTCCCTTGTTGCCTATGTATAAGTTAACAAATCTGGTTTGTGAAACTTGTATATGAATGTGTTCTGAGTCCCCAGATTCAGATACGTTGGTAACTGGTGCACTGTGAACATGATTCATAGGCATTCCCATGAAAACATTTTATTACAAATCCACCTAAGTGTCCTTCCATAGCTCTACCATGATGCGGCCTGTGTGTGATTCCAATGCTGCATGTCCTACAAAATCACCTCATAGCAGGCCCTTAGACTCCACGAGTGAACGCAACAGCATTGTGTGAGCCAACAAATGTGATGTCCCCTTTGTAACCTAATCAACTTGCTCTTCCAGCTGCAGGTCCTTGAAGCTCTTAACCACTCAGGAATTCAGTCCTCTTACTAACAAGGGACCTAAGCATCCACATCACCCTGACTACTCTCATGCACTTTGCATCAGAGATACATCCTCCTTACCTGAGAAACCGACAGCACAGTTCCTCCTGAAGTCAGGCTCATCCATAAATTCGGCACAAGCCACTTGTAAGAGCAAATACACTACCCCAGTGAACAGGACAAATGTGGCGAGTACATAGGCGAACCATCTGCTTCCCAGTCTCCTCTCCAGATTTATTCCCTTCCATAACATGGAGACCATATTAAAATACAAATGCCAATCATCAGCATGGTGAAGGGGAGAGAGCAACAAACGCTGCCAGTCTTTTTGCTGGTAACACTTTTCCACGCTAAGGCAGGAGCTCTGCAGTGGCTTCAGAGGATTCAAGAATAACCAGATGTTGACAGCCAAAGTCGCTAGGGTGACAGGTGGAATATTACTGACCCCAACATGGAAGATTTGAGAAAAAAGCAGAAGGAGTCCAGTATTAATTCCTCTTGATCTCCGATGCATGGTTAGACAGCAGGAAAATGGTCCAGTGATGGGAAACGTGGTCAGGTTTCAGGAATTCAAGAAAGCGAACCTAAAATAGGAAACACGTGTAGAAAATCCATCAGTAAAGAATTAGTATACCAATAAGACATTCACTTAATAATGAGCTCATATTGGGTATATTCTTCTGTTTTAACACAAGAATTAAGAACAGTACCACAGTGATATAAGTGCACCCATGTTTACAGAACCACAATTTATAATAGATCTAGGAACAACCCAAATGCCCATCAACTGAGGAATAGATTAAAAAAGATATGGTCTTTTTATACAATGGAGTATTTTCAGGCATAAAGAAGGCTAAACTGGAGACTTTTTAGGTAAGTGGATGCAACTTGAGAGCATACTTATAAGTGAAATAAACCAGATACACATATGTAAACATTGTACTGTCTCTCTAGTGTGAGAATCTGAAAAAGTAAACAAGATGCAAAATGTACAATAGATATTGTAAAATGGGAAGCAAATTCAAAGGAAAGAGAAACTAGGATGGATGAATGGAGGAAAAAAAGGGAAGGAAAAGATACATACTATTTAATATATAATAATATATTAATAAGGAAAATATATATTCTTATATACATATGTAGAAGAAAATTAAGGTAGTTGTAATAATTTCTCTTAGTTCATTGAAAAGAAGGATTTGTGCTAATATTGGACAATTAAATGCCGATGTCTTGTACTCTGAGTAACTAATTTAAAGACACAATATGCAAAGTATTAACCATTATTGCCCTCCAATTATCTTATGACATTTTGTTTTATTTTTCTAAAATTTAAAAAAAAAAGAATTTCTGTTTTCAGAAGCTACCTGTATAGCAAACTCTGGATTGTAACACAATCCCTGTTTTTAAGGAACTCACTTTCCACTAAAAAGTAAGCCAACAACTGCCACATAACGGTCTATATACAATGAGAGGAAGCCCAGAGTGCAAGCACAGAATTCTGGCCAAGGACAAGCCTGTAGTCTTAAAGGTTGAACTGGCGCTCACTACAAGGGAGAGAGTTGCATGCCTCAGCGGAACTCTTCTTCACCTCCTCAACTGTAACATACTTTGGCTGACAAAGCAGAGGCAGGGAAACTACAAGGCCTCCAAGCCTGGCACTGCTTTGTAGGCTTCTCTCTCTTCAAACCCCTTCAATGACAAGTACGAGCTAGTCTGCTGGATGATGAAAGAAAGATATATGCTCCAGTCACGTTATGGTCCCAGCCACTGGTCAGCTAATGCCCCAGAAACAAGAGTTTTCTAGCTGATCGCAAATGCATAACTGCATCCAGCCGAGCCCAACCTAGCTTGTAGAACTACAGAACAGAGAGTGATATAAATAGTACTCAGTTTACTTCACCAACTTTGGAGTGGTTTTTATTCAGCAATTATTCACTAACATAGAAGATACTTTGGAGAAGACCTAATTTCTGTTCACGAGTAGCAGTAATCAATGAGAGAGAAGCAGAGATACAAGCTAAAGGTGAAAGAGGTAAGTAGAGAGAATCAAATGCTCAGAGGGAAGAGCCTTTTTTCTAACAGGAAAAAATGTCAGATGTAGATATATACATGCAGAATGGAGAAGTGGATGCTGAAAAGTTCTTCCTTAGTGCCTTGTGTTTTCATATGGGGATTTCTTAACCCACAGCTCCACATAACTGACTCCAACAGTCTGATACTAACTCAGTACATTGGACAGTGGCTTTCAAGTTGAAAGTAACCCTAGACATTGCTAAACATCATCAACTCCAATTTCTTCACTCTACATTAGAAACAAAGCTTCCTTTTTAGGATTACTGTAAATGCTTAGAATGCAGGAAGTAATCATTTGTATAAAGCACTATAATTTATGTAAAAATTAGTTCCTTTGCAAATAGTAGAATCCTAACAAGATTCAAAAGTGCTCCCCAGACAGTTCCCCCACCACGCTCAAAGATCTCCCCAAAATTATGCATCCACATATATGTATGTGCATATGTACACACACATTATTAGCACAGCCAATTTTTATTGACATCACCTTACTATTGTGTATTGCTGCTATTCATTCCCACAAACTAGAGAATTTAATAAAATTTCAACTGAAAAAGCTTCCAAGCATTGAAAAACTGACCATTTTTCATATTGAAACTCAGGGAATCTTTCCATTTTCCAACTACTATGACTATTTTGCAATTCCCCCCAAATAATTTTACGTGGTGTGTATAAAATACATGAGTATGTGTGTATGTATATAACATCATTAACTAACAAGAGTAATGGAAAAATATTGTCTCACTGATCTGCTTACAAGAAATGATAAAATAAACCCTTTAATCAGTGTAAACAGGATCCTATGGATTATGGACCATTTGGAACAGAAAACTGAAATTAATTATATCTTTGCTTTAAAGAAGTTCCCCCTCCATTAGAACCAGCAGTGATGAGGAGTATAATAAAAGGACAGACCTCCCAACTCTTATTTCATACTGTGTACACAGGCTTGTTATATTTTCACCACTTCTGACAAAATCCAAACGTCTCTTTCCACTCACATCCCTCCTCGCCTCCCAGCTCTGATCCTGCCATAGGCTGGCTGCTCCTAATCCACAGAACACCCTGCCTTCCTGTGGCTTCACCCTCTTCCATTCCCTTCCTCTGTTCATTTTTCCTCTCCCCTTACCCTTGCTTGTATATTCTTTTTTTTCATTTTTATCGGTACCGGGGATCGAACTCACGACCGCCTGATTGCAAGGCAGGTGCTTATGCCGCTGAGCTAAATCCCCAGCCCCCTTGCTTGTATATTCTTAAGAACTTCTATTCTCGTGGTTTTTATAATTCTTTTTATTATGAGATTCCCAAATTATTATTTTTCAGTCTTGATTTCTCCACAGGCTTCTGGGACATAATCTTGTAGGAAAAACTATAGTCTGTCTCATACCTTGGTTTCTAAAAAGTGAGTTATCCTCTCCTATGGGATGACAATCCAGCTATGCCTTCTTTTATCTATTTAATACACATTCATCAAGTGCAAACTGCATATCAGCTTCTATGCTAGGCACTAGAGGGGTTCAGTGAAAAAATACGTAATTCCAGCCCCTGAACAGTCACAAAAGTATACGTTGCAGGAAATCAAAAAACTCAATACATTGCAGTCTGAATCCACAATGAATACATACTGGGCTCAGGCAAATGTAACCATAGCCAAAGTGAGGAAGCACAGTATCTTTTGAGATCTGTTTTCACAAACATAACCCCCTATAGTACCTATGTGGGTAGAACCCAAGTTTTGAGTTTTAAGTAGCAAACATAAGTCAGCCTTGTTTCCTAACAAGAATACAGAAATTAAGAATACTGAGTCAAGAAAGAAACTTATCCATAAGATTATCCATACCAAGTAAGGGGTGCAGCTTGGTATAGGGTAACTTTAAAGTCTCCAACTGGACAGTGCGAAAATCAAACATATAACATGACCTCGGGGGCAAAGCCGGCACTGTCCTAGCAACACCATGGCAAATAGATCATGGAAAGAGAACACTGACTGTAAAATGAGTATTGTTACTGTCCAGCCCCACCCAATACACAGCAATGCTTAGAGTGTGGTGCTGTGTGAGAGGCCACAAAGGAAAAACTAATTATAGCAATTTGTCTATATGTGGAAACCTGTACAATCTACTTGGATTTGGAAGTGGTACTTGGTTTTGTTTGGTACCAGGAATTGAACTCACAACCTCACACTTGCCTGGCGAATGCTCTATACCACTGAGCTAAATCCCAGGCTGGAAGTGGTTTATGACCTCCAAATGGTACTCAAATGATAAACCAGGTACCACAGCTCTAGAAAGAACAAGCCAGTCCCTGTGTGAAGGTGTAAACAAACATGCCTTGACAGCCTCAACGTGCCCCAAACTAAACACTGACCCACACCTTCCAAAACTGCTCTTCCCATCATGTTCCCCATCTCAAGACATAGAATTTCCAACCATACAGCTCTTCACACCAAAGATAGACAACTCACCCTCACTTATCCTTTGTTTGCATTACTCTGCTGCCCCGAAAGCCCATCAGTAAAGTTTAGTTAATTCTGACAACTGAACGTTTTGACTCTGCAAGTCATTACTTGGAAGGTGAGTAGTCCTATTTTAGCCACAAAGATCAAGTATCATCTCAGCCACGCTCTAGAGACAGAAATATAGATTTCTATTATTACAGACAACCAGCTAGCTGTTATTTGGAAAATGCTGGCAATTGCTTTGCCTAAACTTTGTAGCCCATTTTGCAACATGCAGCTCTGTCAATCTACCAACCAACCAACCGTGTGGGCTGTGCTGCACGTAACATTCAGCCTCTCCTTGGTCATTCCAACGTGGTGGGTTAACTATAATGATCTAGACTTCTGTGTCCTCTCACCTCTCTGCATACGTAACTAACATATCAGTCTTACTGGAACAAACCTAAAGCTAAGTACAAGACCATAAAAAGAGTTCATTGTGGTATCATGGGCTGTTTCTTGGCCTCATTTATGTGATACAATCTATTTGAAAACAGTGCTTTCTTTTTCCTCTTACATCTAAATATATCAGAAAAATTTCTTGTTAAGTAGTAAGTTTTTTTCCTGCCCATATCAGAATTATTCTCTTCTAAATGGTACTACGCTTCACTTTTGGTTTAGTATGTGTTAGTACAAATAACTAGAGACAAATTCTTCCACTGAACACAGCTGAAAGACAAACCATTCAAGTGATCTAATTACTTTAGTTTTTATTTTTTTTAAGTCTTCTAATCAAAGCCATCAGCATAACTTGTCTAATTAAAACAAACTTTTTAGCTAGATTCTCTGCCCTTCCTGTGATACCAACTGACCGCCTTCCACCAATGCTGAGAGTAATCGTGCATAAAACTGAACTTGAATGTCTCTGCGGCAGCCTTCAAGGGCTTATCGTTACTTGCGGAAAAAGTTCCGATTCTATCATAACTAGACACCTGTTAACACTTATGCCCTGCTTGCCTCTCAGATCTCATAACATGATGTTCTCTGCCTCAGTCACTATACTCCAGCCCATAT